ATCTGATCAAACTTATTGGAAATGCAGAGTGACTGTATAATATACCTGGGTGGCCGGGCCAACATCAAGTGGAACCACCGAGCCTGGCTTCACCTTGATGTTCACGAATTCGTTGCTGTTTAGTCTCAAACTGTCAATCTCCTCCACTGGCCATTGAAGTAGATTGGCACCAGTCTTCTGATCAAGAACCAGTGTCCTAGGAACACACTGTAACATAATACAAGAATTAGAATCAAATAGAACTAAATGCAAAACTTTTGGTTTGTCAATCTATTAAAGGATTTTACCATTTATCCAACTTCTCACCCTTAGCAAATAGTAAAGTAAGATTGATACTCGAAAACTATCATACCTGAAGGGACGCCCATCCCTTCTTCACATCAGCAGCTTCACTGTCAGACTCTGTAATCCAACCCCACAATATTCTTCTATGCTTATCCTGATCATAAAAGGTCTTGGATGCATAGAAGGTCCCATAGTCATAACGCAGACCAATTCCAACATCCATCTCAGGATTATCAGGAACCCAAGTGGCTTTGTTGTCGAAGTAAGTCCCAATTGCATAATGATCATTCCTAGTATTATCCAAGCTTGCCTTGAGCACATGCTTGACTTCAGGGCCATTCATCGATGTGTCCTGTCCATTCTGACTTATTTTTGAGACAGGGTAAAAGTCCACACACTCCCACATGCCAGTGCCAGGGACACCGTGAAGGATTGAATCTAACAGCTTAAAATTTTTGAAGTCCTTGGTGTCATAGACTAAAGATATGCCGGTCTTGTTAACTTTAGACCCCACAATAATACGCCACTTCCCTTCTGATGTCAACCAAGCGGTTGTTGGGTCACGAAAATCCTTGTAATGAATGCCAGGTGGAGGGACCAGAACTGGGTTGCCAGAGTACTTGACCCAATTGATGAGGAGGGGATCAGAAAGATCAGCAGGGTATGCCAGATTTTGCACCTGAACTGATTCATTTGTTGAGCCAGTATATAGCATAACAATCTGGCCATCTGGGAGGATGGTAGCAGATCCAGACCAGACACCATTTGAGTCATACCATTGATCAGGGACCATTGCTATTGGCAGGTATAGCCAGTGGATCAAATCCTTCGAAACAGCATGTCCCCACGCAATATCACCCCACACAGCACCATTTGGGTTGTACTGATAGAAGAAATGGTACCATCCCTTGTAAAACATTGGACCTGAATATATAACATTTGATAAATTTAGAGACAAGGGAAAAATGGATGAAATTTGATACTATAATCGTTAATTTCTCTAGGACTTAAATATATCACCCATTATCTCTGAAATGGTTATCAAATAATTACCATATGCTTTCAAGGAGAAACCAGTTTTTCTTTGGTCTAATAACCTGTAGCGAGTAAAACATAAATTTTAAAGAATTAAAATTCAAAACCCATATGAACACTTGATCAAAAGAGAGCAATCTAATACTTCCAAAAGGCAGATTCTGAAAATACTACCCGTACACATGGTTTGTTCTTAAAAATTTGAATAGGACAAGGCGAGGTAAAGTTTAAGCACCGACCTCCTGTGATTATTCTTTAACTCAATTTCCTCGTTTTTTTAAGGCAACAATTGAAGTTGTACTCGGTCCGTCGTAGAATTTTATTAGTTTTGGCTGAAGTTTAGCTTCTAAAATTTCTTACTTCGCTGGCGGTGGATTCTATTTTCAGACACAGCCGACTTTGTAACATTCAAACAATTTTAATAGTCATTGGTTTTAAAGTCAAAATTTTTCCATGTCACGAATTTGAAAATTATTAGGCCGAGTTTATCCTAATCAACCCACAAATAGCAGAAAAGATAAGTTCAACAATTAGTAAAATTCAAAATAGTAGGGTCTTACCATTAGGATCTGAAAGTGAAACGGATCAAATTCCCCGAGCCGAACACCAGGAGCCAACAATTGAAAAAACAAGGGGAGAGAGTTAGCGCCCATTACTGAATAAATAAGACGTCTGATTCTCGGCAATCAAGTCAGTTTCGTGCTCATCAAATGTGCTATTTACTGAATATATTTATATACACAAGTATATACATACTATGTGAATGTATATTAGATATAATATTAGATATAACCGCCGCGAGTTGAACTTTCTTTCAAATTCTCAGAGGAGAAAAGTTTTTGAACTTTCGAGTTAAAAAAATAAATAAATAAATAAAAAGAGAGAATGGTACGACATTGAATATTCCTCTGTCGCTTTTCTTTTAAAAAAAGTTGAAATAAAAATAAACAGGGAAAAAAGATTATAAACTGTTGGATTGAAAATTAAAAACTTTTCTCTAAAAAAAAAAAAAAGTAAAAACAATGAACGGCCGTACCGTTCATCCAGTTTTTCTCAGGTTGAAAATGAAAGGCCGTTCTCTGCCACGACAACATGCTATTGTTCCAAGGGAACTCCTTCAACTCTTCCACTCCGGCGAACAACAGCCGGTTGGTCTTCTCCGACACGCCGGCGGAGACGCCGCGAGACCCAGGTCGCAGTATCTTGGAGGATTCGGTGGACTCCGACGACAATGAGGCTCCATTCTGGCTTGTGTGGGCCTCTCTTTCGTTAATGCTGTCGTTAAGTGAACCCGGGACATTAGAAAAGGCGAAAAAAGCGACTAAAAAGGCAACAAGTAAGAACCCAGAGAAGATAGCGAGGCAAGATTTAATGGGTCGCCGAGGATTGGGCGGATCACCGGCGGAGTGCGGCCCATCGGGGAGAGGATCATAAATGGGCAACCGTGTATCCATGAAAGACAGAGTTGCAGAGACAAGGAAAGAGTAAGAAAGGAAACAAGGTATTAAGTACTGTAAAAACAGAGAGAGAGAGAGAGAGAGAGAGAGAGAGAGAGAGAGGGAGAGAGAGGGTAATGTGCAAGAAGTGATTTGGTGTGGGAATGTATATATAGGAGATGATTTAATTACATTAACTGGTAATGGGGTGGTGAGATGGAGAGAGAGGATTTGTTTTGTTTAATGTGAAATTTGAAGTTTGAAAGGGAAGAAGATTGAGACAAGAAAAATAGGAAAATGGGAGTGTAAGTTGGTGAATGAGGTGTAGTGTATGTAATTTCCTATTTTGCATTATGATCCGAAGGTGGGCCCCGCAGTAACAATTTTCTGGCCAATGATTTCAATCCTCGATGAGTCACAAGCTACTAACATGAACATGAGGCGCATCTCTGCTGTTGTTCATCTAACAATTAATTAATTAATTAACCACCCTTTTTATACATTTAATCATAATTAAATAATACTTATCCGCCAGTAATATTACAGTTAATAATTGCTGATACATGATCGCGCTTAAATCATTTCTGTCATTCTCTCAAATCAGAAATTAGTTATGTCCGTTTTAGTACCAAACCCTTTTATCCATTTTATTAATTGGTAATTAAAATTAAGAAAAATAAGAGATTAATTACCACTTAATTTGGATTATATCCAATTATCCATCCATTAAAACTTCATTACAATTCCAGAAGACTTGTTGCGTACAGTGTCCCACTCGTGACTCATCACCCATGTGACTCTATATGTACTCAATTATAAGTGAGAAATCAAGAAGAAAAGAAAAAATAAATAAATAAACATAAGGCCACGTGCCTATTTTCCAATGCAAGAACCCATTTATTAAAATATTATTGTCCAATTTATTTTATGATTTAACTCATGCCATACATATTCATGTATTATAAAAATCTATATTCATTCAACACTGGTCAAACCATAATATATAATTTTTTTTCAAAATTTATCTTGGTAAAAAATTTCCCAAAAGAAATTTAAGGATGTCAAATTTCAAAACCCCCCTACTTTTTCTCTCTACCCAGGGTTACCTTGAAATTTGATTTCCAAATTTTAGAATCCGAAAAATAAAAAAGAAAATCACAACTATAGAATTCAAGATTATTCATAAAAATTTGATTGATAGTAGCTTTCAAGATTATTAATCATTTTCTTACCTGAAATGTTCAAATTCTAAATTATGTTTGGTACAAAACTTTGCTCAAATTTAGTGTTGAATTAAACATTTTACTCTTATTTATTGTTTTGTTTATAAAAATTTATGAACTATGTAATGTCAATATCTCCTTAAGAGATTACTTATTGAATTGTAAGCAAGTACAAACTTAACCAAAATCTAATTATGTATATAAGAGATAATAGAATATACATTTTGTTTTTTTTTTTTCATAGTCTATATAGATTTTTGGATGATACATATATATGATTAAAAGAAGTACTAAGAAACCAAATAATTATTCCCTTAATAATCTGTGGTACAAGAAATAGCTAAATTTTTAAACAAAAAAAAATTATAAGACACATCATGTTGATAATACAAAATCTTTAGTACAAATAGTAAAATTCAAATAAGTATTATTTAGAAAAGAAAAATTTTATTGTGTTGGTTACCTAGAAAAATATATCTATATACTAGATGTTTGCTAATAAGTGATGTATCTTCACAATTATAACATTCTCATAATATATAAGCTACTAATATATTTTTCCTCAAAACGAGTTTGTCACCAACTATAGCAACATCGTTCGCTAAATTTGTACCTTTTTATGCTTTTATCTCCCCAAACTT